CAACTCGTACAATTTTGTTTATTGTACTTGTTAATATTTGTTTTATGAACCATGATTGGACAAAGTTTTTAAAAACAAAAGATGTTCCTTTTATATATAAACCTCTGTTATGTTAATTTCGATTAATTTCCCTGAAGAAGTTCGGACGAGATTGCCGAACGAAACGTTGGAATTACTCATTTCAATATCGCTGAGATTTTACAAATATAATTTTTTACAAATAATAATGGTGCCCTGGATTATGTCATATAAATTGTTTCAACTTATGCAAAGTGTGCTCCTTGTCGTTATTCCATTACCTTCCCTTGCGCATAAATGTCTTGTGTCAGTGAAAAATTTTAAACTGCAGTCTCTCATGTGCATAAAGTGAGAATATATTATCATAAGATGCATTTTATTGTTATATTAGGGAAAGAACTTCAAGCTTTATACTTTTTTTCCCAAGTATCTGTAGTCCGACCAACACATGCTTGGGTTTCTTTGTTCACGCGAAGTCAATATCTTTATATTTCTTGATGTGGTTGTCTATTGAATCACTAGTTATCAGATTTTCCCCACAAACTAGAAACAAAATAGACAGTAACCATGTTATTTAATCATAAGTCAAATTTATGTTATTTAAATAATACTTATCCATGCCTGTATATAACTGTGAGTCCTACATGGGTAGGAATAAATATGTACCTAAATTTTAAATCGAATGAATGAAGTTCAAAATAGCAAGCATATTACTTACATCTGTCTGTAGAAGAGGAAGATAATTGTTTATCTTTCCTAGACGACATATTGATTAGTCAATTGATGACTTGATGGGTCAGTAAAACGATGATCTATTTATAGAACGAAAACCTACCTACCTGGACAGGACAGTATCTTAATTACCACAGTTTCTGCCCCGTTCGGTATAAAAGAGCCTTAGTGAGTGAGCTGAGTGCCTCTTCAGTAGAATCCAATGAATATGCACTGAAGACATACACACTTGATGATGAGGAAGAAAGAAAGTTGACACAACTCTGCTCTGGTTCATAACAATTATCCAGACAAGTTCATCAGGAGATATTATAAAGTAGTCAGTGGAACACCAAGATCCACTCTACATCTCGCCCCTAAGAAAGACGTGTACATCAAGCTACCTTAACCTATATGGGTGGGGGATCATAGCAGCTTGATAACTAGACAATGATAGAACGCTGTTGTGCTTTAAAAGACTTTGTATGCAGCTAATATCATAATAGTAATTGAGAATGTGAAGCCAATATATCCATCCATCCATCTAAGCCCTTCAAACATGAGAGAAATGATGTCACATCCCACTATGTTTACCGATTTGAATAAACGTGTAGACACACATACATGTATGGGAAGGACACATCGATCTCTGCGAGTAAGGGCTGGCTGATTTCAGAGCATATTCCTAAATGGCTCCAAAAGCAAATGGTATCTTCAGAACCCATTAATGGTGAGAACTGGAGACCTAGCTAGCTCCTCTATAGCGAAACATATTACAGAGGAGACAGCACATAAAATTGACGTTAACTAACACATCTTTTAAACGCCTATCTATAAAACGTGTTTGGGGGAGGGCGTATCCTAAATTTTGTGGAAGCTGTAGCAATTAGAAAGTTTAAGCCACCTTCATGCGTTCAAAAACAATTCGTCATTACATTAAAACTACCTTGGTAAACTTTGTTTTGATCGCCACCAGTCAGGGTAGATGTACTATTACCTCTGTTATTTGGTTGAGTGATTGATCTTCATTGTTATTTTGACCTTCAGTATGTCGTCCTTTTAACTTGACCTAAGTAGTCAAGTCTATTTTCTCACCCACCTCTTAACTCACTCTTTATTAATTTCCTATATATATGTAGTCCTATGATAAGTGTGTGTGTGTGTGATGGATCAGATTGTTCGAAATGTGTGTTGAGCGCAAATATGCACGTTACACACACAATTCAGACAGACAGAAAAATTACGTCTTCTTATTGCTTTATCTAAATTCATGAAAAAGGGAAATAATTGTTTTAAGTATTATAATATCGTTACTAACTATGCTTACTAATCGTATGTGTAATTTATCGAATTGATAATGCCTGTAAACTGTCGTCCCTCATGTACAAAAGTGAGAATATATTATAAAATCAAGACAGCCCAAGGTGCACCAACTGTTCCGAGGCAAAGAAAGGCCTTAATCTTACAAATACAATACCTTGGGGCAACATCAGCGGGATACTAACACAGCAACTTAGAAGTGAGGCGGTAAAACGAAGAGCATTCGCAGTGCTGCTGCTGCTGCTGAATTATGATGTGTCTTCAAAACCAACCACTCGTCTCTTGCATTTGTTCGGGACTGAAAGACAAACTGCGTAGTAATTTCGCCTCCTCTTCCATGTGTGTTTGTGTGTGTGTGTGTGTGTGTATCTACCAACTGAACTGCTCCTGTGGAGTGAATCAGTCAGTTACTTGCATAGACCGTGCAATTAGGCGTGTCTCTCGGAGAATTTCCGAACATCACCCTGCACAGTGACTGGTTGGTTAAGCAAAGGACAAATAGAATCTATTCACAGCGCTATTCTATTTATCTCACTCGTCTTGTGGATACACAACACAACACAAAACTGATTGATGTTAACAAGGCGGCTTTCAGGGTCATTTACCTACCGCATACCAACCAACAAATCTCAATTTCGCCATAAGACTAGTTCGACTACTAAATATTCCTGAAGCTGGCTGGCTGGCTGGCCGTTGGGAACCATATCAACAAGCCTAATTTGTGCATCCAAAAGAAGTTGGTTAGTTCAGACATTATCCTTAACTACCCGCTTGGCCATCCATCCAGGTGTGAATGATCCTGAATTTTTGTGGAATTTTCCTAATTTTAGTTGATATTCTATTTCCTACTATGTCTTTGTTGTTAGTATTATTATTATAATTTAAGCATCTTTAATGGACTGTGGTAATTCCATTGTGATCTTACTTACAAATACACGCGGATATTGTTATTGACTACTAATAATCTAGAGTATTCTGTGTATATAAACATGCATATATAGATATAATTGTAGAGCCAGAGGAGGAGGAATTTGTCGAAAAGGGGATACTCTTTTCTGGCTCAATTATTTTGTGTTTTATAGATTGAGATGTCTGAATGAATATTTACGCTATATCTAAGTTGTAGCAAAATAAATGAAAAAGTACACAACTACGTTTACAGTGTTTTACAACAGCAGACAAAGAGCCGACAGACATGTCAACCTGACATGACACCAAGTACTTCGGTTCAATCAGTCGACAGGAAAATACAAAAAATAACAAACAATCGAATTAAACTAGACTACTTCTGAAATGAAATTCTGATCACAGTTCATGCAATTTTGTTTATTATACATGTTGATGCCTGATTTATAACTCACACGATTAGATCAAATTTTTTATACAAATAAGCGATGTCCCTCTTTTCTGCATATAAATATGTGTTATTTTAATTTCGATGTTGATGTTAACTCCTCTGAAGAAGTTCGGACGAGGTTGCGACGAACACACAAGAAACGTTGGAGTTATTTATTTCAATTTAGATGAAGCAATAAGAAGACGAAATTTGATTGAGAAATATTTTTGGAGGATCTGGACTTCGCCGATGTGGTGTATATGTCTAATTTCCCACAAACTGGAAGATATGCAAGTGAAAAGCAACAAGTTGGCGATAGAAGAAGCATCCACAGAAGATAGGACATCCTTTAGGTGAACATAGAGAAAACAGAGGTGATGAAGATTCCTGGCCAACACCAACAACAACAACAGACAACAATCAGCCAGCATAAATGGGAGGAACCTGAAAGAAACAACCTCCTTTACCTACCCACCTACCTACCTCAGAAGCATCGTTTCAACTACACGTGGACGGAACTGACGAGGATATCAAAGAAGTGAGGATCGGGAAAGCAAGACAGGCTTTCATTACTCTCAAGTCTGTGTGGAGGTCAACAGCACTCAGCGTCACAAATAAGATCCGGATTTTTAACTTCAGTGTCATAAAGAGAATCTCACACAAACTACAAACCTTCATTAACAGTTGTCTTCACTCAACATCACTCAAGATCAGAAAAGCTCAGCAACACGGAGGGATCTCTGGCAATGAGCGAACCAACCCAGCAGGAACTGATTGTGCAACAAATATCAGCAGGAAAAAATGGAGATGGATTGGATTGTGGCCATACTGTGAGAAAACAAACCATCAAGTGAATGACATCAACTAGACAAGCCATTGCTCGAGTGGAACCCGAATTAGGAAGCGGGTGGCAAGTTGGTCGTCAGTGCAAGGGTGGGGTGACTTGGAGAAGGTCATGTGAAGAGGAGACGAAAGCGTGTAGGCAAACTTGGAGTGGGATGAATAAGTTGGCAGAAAACCGAACGCAATGGAGACGTGAGCGACTGAAGCCCTATGTTCCTCTAGGAATTAAGGGATATAATAATAATAGTTATTATTATTATTATTGTTAAAGAAAGGTAAAATTTGTTGAGCAATTTGTATACTTACACACTTTACTTTGCTTTATTTTAGAATAAATTTAAATATTAAAAGGAAATAAATTATGCATTTGCTTGTTTTAAACAAACAAACAAACAAACAGACCTGGAAAAAATTACAAGTTAATTATGAAAAAATAATCAAGATTCATACACGAAAATAGGTAGATAGATGACATACATAAAGTGAAGCGCTGCTGACATACTCTCACATACATACAAACATAAAGATTGATAGAAAAATTCTATAGATGCATCTACCAGAAGACAGAGAGACACATTCTGAGTTCATAGTAAATTGAAGTTTAAAAAAAAAACAAGAATCATTTTCATGAAAGACAACTGCAGTATCTATGGAATATAATGTTGAATAGTGGTATAACCCCCACCCCCTCTTATAGACATTACTGACTAAGTAGTAGTAGTGCTGTTCTCTCACTATCACAGACAATTAGGAAGGAATCGATTCTTGTTATTTATTGCCCCTTTAGAAGCATGTCAATCTGTAATAGACAAGAAAAGGGAAAACCAAAAATAACGCATATATTAGAAATGAAGAAAATGTAGAATCGAACTGTATGTACATATTTAACCAATATTTAAAAAAAATTGGAAGATAGTAGTGATTTACGTCAGTGTTTATGTCCTAAATATTGGTCATGAGAAAAGAAAGAACAAGAAAAAGAACAAAGACTGACTGCCTAACTGACTCAACAACCAATCACAGAACACTTTGTTTGCGTAGGTGGATACAATTAGCAGACAGATCGTCGATGATCTGACTTTCAAGAAACAGTCGCAAAGAGAAACAACCACCACCAATCAGAAGACTATGGTGTTTATCTTCTAACAATAATCTATAATTAAAATGTACATGAAAATCTATAAATATCTTAAAACAACTAGTTCCTTTGATAAATTTGAATAAGGCTCCATGAAAAAGACTCCATGTCTGTTTACCAAAAATAGATCGTTGAATCGTTCCATCATTTCTCCTAGTCATGGTAATGTCCAGGGTACGGTTAAAAATGGAGTGAAGAATATCTTCACTTTACCAGTTTTGTTTTGTTCCTATCCAGTATAAACGTTCCCCCCTAGTGAAATGTTTGTTCTCAAGGGCCCGAAAAATATGCACGAGTGACACATGGTGATGGATGAGTTTCGACATATACATTCAGTTTTACTAGCTAATGGTTATCCAGAGAACTTTATCACTTGTCACAGTAAGGATAGACCACATCTAGAAAAGATAGCTTCTGTACCAAACAAAGCTATCTTTATAAACCTACCATTCAAGGGTGACCACATTATACAGTTGACAGCTAGCTCAAAGAATTCGGTCAGCCATAAAACGCACATTCTAACCCGCCACATCTCTATTTCTCACATGCCGTAAATTTTCGATCCCTGTACCTATGATTAAAGAACGAAATTCTGTGGACTCTAATTCAAACTGTATCTACAAGTTCACCTGCAGTTGTTGCGGTGACACCTATGTAGGAAGAACCAATAGAATGTTCTAATGTCGTGGCCGAAAAGAACATGTTACAAAATGGCTACTAATTCATATAGAAAATTCTACCAATGCATTCATTAATCTGAATAGAAATCCAAAATCATCACCCATCGCAAAACACTTGTTAATGTCAGGTAAAAAAATCAATATTAATTAATGACTGTTTCACAATTATTTCATCACATAACTCTAATTCAAGGTTGATTATTGAAGGTGATGGAAGCACACCTTTCGGGGATTAATCACATACAGCCTAAACGGTGTGTACAGTCAAAACACAGTAGACTTCAACCTTCCTTTGCCTATCATGGACTGACTACTTGACCTATGTAAATATAATTAAACATTAGCATAGTATGTACTTTTGTTTTTTATTTAACTGAGTAATTGTCATGATCTTTATTTTATTATTGTTAACCATGTTAGCTGTAAAGCGGAAACTACGATATGACGATATCATATCGCGAATTTTGTCTTCTTAATGCCTTATTCAAACTATAAATATCTGTTGATTTCCTTAATAAAGGATATGTTGACTGGCTCTTGTCTTCTCTTAATACATTTGGTGTTGCTGCCTACCAACAAAATAGAAAGCCTATGCCCTGCAGTTTTCGGTGGAGACATATGGATGAATCTTCGGACAGGACTTCGAAGCTTCTAAGGAGTTCAGTGGCGTTCAACACCTGTCAGTGATGAGGTTGTTACTTGAGACGCTGCTGAGAGGTCAGGAGAAAGCAGTATTTGAAAGTGTGATATCCATGCTGAAAATTCCATACTTGTACCAAAAATACGGTGTGGAATCAAGCTGTAATCAAAACAAAACAAAAAACAATCACCATCGACGGGAGGGATTTGAAAGAGGTTACTTCACTCACTTACTTATCTAGGGAGCATTGTCTCGACTACAGGAGGAACGGACGAGGATGTCAAATCGAGCGAGAATCGGGAAGGCGAGAAACACATTTATTCATCAACCTGAGACCAATCTGGAAATCTTCGTCACTCAGCATCAACAACAAAATTCGGATTTTCAAAACAAACGTCAAGTCGCTCAGTTCTTCTATACGGGACGGATCAGAAACTTGGCGGGTGGGTCACAAAGAATATTTCCAACAGCCTGTTGCAGACCTTTATCAACAACTAACTGTCTTCACTCTATACTGAAGATCAGATATGGCCGGACCAGAAAGAATCACCAACAACAAGAAACTATGGGAACAAACAAAACAAGAACCAATCGCCCATCAACAACAAATATGCAGGAGAAAGTGAAGAGATGGATTGGACACTCACTGAGGAGGCCGCTGGGTGACATCGCGCGCGCATCAGGCCATTGCTGGAGTGGAACCCGAAAGGGAAGCGGCTAGTGGGACGTCAGTGCAAGGGTGACATGGAGGAGGTGATGGTGTGAAGAGGAGTTGAAACAGTATGGAATAACACGGATGCAGGTGCAAAGTACAGCAGACGGAAGACAGAAGCAAGTGGAGACGTGCAGTTGACGCCCTATGTTCTACTAGGAACCCAGAGGAACAATAATAATAGAGAAACATTGGAAACCAGGGAGTGCTGGACAGCTGTTTCATCAGCCTAATTTGGGAATCATCGCCAGTAAAAACAAAACTAGCCCTTACAAACCAAACTGTAGATGTGTAGAACGCTCGCTGAGGAGACCGTCGGGTGACATCACACACGCCAGCCAGCAAGGCCGTCGCTACAACAGCGGAATTCATCAAATGGGAAGCGATGATAATTGGGGCGGCGCTTGACAATCATATTGAAGAGATTTTAGGTAAAGGACATGAAAGTCAACAATGGGCAATCACATGGAGCCAGTCAAAAGAGGACATCAGGGAACAGGATGAAATAGATAGATGTCCTGTGGAAGCCCAATATTCCACTCGGAACCCAAAGGGATAATAACACGAAGGGTTGACACAAGGCTGGTTGAGTTTCAACATAGAAATTTCCACTAGTTCAAGAGATAATGTCACACACTTCATTTTGTAAACTTATTGTAAAGAAAACAAAATAATTGGCATTCACAAGAACTCTAATATGAACAAAAATGTGTAGGAGAAACAAGAGAATCATAAGGAAACAAATGTGAGACTTCAATGGATCCAGGAGAATGAATTCGAGCCATATCTCCACCAGTCTCAGTTGGCGATCAGTGTCTGTAAGTATGGTATGTGCTTTGCGCCGTCTAAGTGCAAAGTACTGTTACAAGATTGGCAGGAGCCTGTACCTGCACTAACTCTTGCGGGTGAACCGCTTGAAGTTGTTGATAAGTTTGTGTACCTGGGTAGTTGTGTGAGTGCTGGCGCAGGAGTGACGGATGAGATTTCCAACCGTATAATACTGAAGGCTAGGGTGGCATACATCAACTTGAGCCACCTCTGGCGCTGTCGCGACGTTAGCGTGGCTGTCAAAGGTCGGGTATACAATACTTCGGTGCGGGCTGCGCTGCTCTACGCCTATGAAACCTGGCCTCTCCGAGTAAACTGAGGGTGTTCAGCGACTCTGCGTGTTCGATCACCGCTGTCTCCACAGGATTGCTTGCGTTCGACGGATGGCATCATCGTGTGAATAATTCTGAGGTTCGGCGGCGTTTGTTTGAACACAGTGGAGATCACCATTCATTGAATGTCGTCATCATCTGGAAACACCGGCTCCGGTGGCTTGGACATGTACTGCGAATGTCATCCCAGAGGCTTCCGTACGGGTCTCTGTTCGCTGGCCAGCTCTGGGACGGGATTGAAAAGGCGGAGAGGTGGTCAGTTCATGACGTGGCATCGTGAGATGAAGGATATCTGTGCTAGATTAGCATCATGGGTTGGTGCCTCATGACTCCGTTTTGGGGTCGGCGAGATAGCTCGAAGTATTATCGGATATGGCCGAGAATCGCAGTCACCAATGGCGAACGTGTTGCAATTTCCTTCTTTCTTTCCTTCCGGTTGATAGTTAACGAATACTGTTTGAACTTGTTAAGCATGACTATTTTCCTTCCAGATGAAGTTCTTTATCCGTTCTCGAGTTATATATTTTTTTTGATCTACGTTGTTTTATTATTATTGTGTGGTGCATCCTTCTTGGTGCCATATTGTACCAAGTTTTTTATGCGTTTGAATAAAATAATAATAAATATCCACCAGTCTCCCAGTCAATTGGTGTCTAGAAGAGGGTCAACCACACAGTCTATACCTCCCTCCCTCCCTAAGTGACCCAGACTAACCGTCAAAGTGATATCATGAAGCGATTTCAGATTTTCGCCGTTTCTCAACCTCTCCTCTCCAATTAAATCCCAAGTTGACAAACATTGTCCATTGTGGAAGGTGATATGTCGTTATGTACAACACATATCCTAAGCTTAACGACCTCACTGACTGACTTCTCCCCCTGACACCCCGAGCGACCTGCTGCACTCTACTGGTCACGGGGGAAAACAACTGCTGCTGTCCAGTACTCCCCCAGTTGGTTTTCCAATTGTTCTCTAACCAACTGATGTCAGCTCATGACAGATGAAATCCTGTAACCATTCAAATATGCCGGTGAAAAAAAGTGGCCGGTAGAGACAAAACACAAACCAAACCAAATGATTACATACCTGTGCTCTATACATTTCTTTTACATCAGCCAGATCCAATTTCAATTCATTATTCTCTTCAGTTAATTTACCGCATAGTACCAATAGAGTTTCATAGCGGCGTTGTAATTCCTTATTCTCATCGATATCAATAAAATCATCATCGTCATCGACATCGCCATTGTCATCATCATCATCAGTAATTTTATTTATCAAAACAGTAGAAGTGGAGGATGCAGAGGGAACGGAGGAGTAGATCGACTTTATTCGATGTTCACCAGTAGACTTTTTAGAATATTTAACACCGGCAAGTTTAGCATATTTTTCAACAAGTCCTGTTTGTTTAGCAATCTCCTGTAATAATTTTTCTTGTTTGGATTGTAAATGTTCTATTTCACGTTTTAAATGAACACATTCCCCTTCACGTAAATGTAGGTAAGACTAAAGTGATGAAAAGAAAAAGACGAAAACAGAATCAACATAAAAGAAGAGTTATCAGTGAAGTAATATATATATATATATATATATATATAATCTAAGGTTGAATACAACTCACTAACGCATGCCAACAAAAACAAGAAGAAATTTAAGTGTTGGTTTGTAGGGATTTGATTGGTTTCAGGATTACATCATGAGCTCACATTAGTTAGAGAACCATTGGAAAGCCAACTGGGAGTACTGCCAGACAGCTGTTTCGTCCTAGTTTGGGACTCTTCAGCAGTACGCACCCACCGGGATTCGAACCCAGGACCTTCCGGTTACAAGGCCAGCGAGCTCGTATACCATTAAGTCACTGGAACCCGATCCAATGGTCCTTGAATTCTAACTTCTACCAATCCCGGTGGGTGCGTACTGTTGAAGAGTCCCAAACTAGGACGAAACAGCTGTCCAGTACTCCCAGGTTTTCCAATGGTTCTCTAACTAATGTCAGTTCATGATGAAATCAAGAAGAAATTTCTTTGGTAAAGGGGTTCATTTACCCTCCCCCAACTGATTGCCTTCAACACTATCCCAACATAGCGTAAACGGTAGTTTTGAATTTGTCGGAAAAATAAGAGATCTTAATTTGAGTGACAAGTTTATGATATCTTTTGATGTATCCTCATTGTTTACCAATGTTACCGTTAATGGAGACAGTGGATTTTATATGTGAGGAGATTAATTAATACACGAAAAACAGACATCAGGTATTTCTGTATCCTTCAAGAAGAAGGAACTTATTTTAAGATGTACAATGAATGTTCATTTCTTATTCGATAAGGAATACTATAGACAAAAACTAATGTGCGTCGGTGGCACAGTGGTTAGGACTCTTGCCGAGCATGCACATGATCCGAGGTTCGATCCCCTGCCGAAGAAGCACACCTGATATCTATGGTTGGCCTGCAAAATTTGAGCTACCGGTATCCATGCTGAAAATTCCATACATGTACCAAAACATACGGTGTGGAATCAAGCTGTAATCAAAAATAAAAAAAATAAAATAATGGTGTAGCTATGGGTTCCCCATTAGACCCAACCCTAGCTGAATATTTTCCTCGCTAGAGAGTTAGAGAATGAACCACTCCTGAAAGGAGTAATTAATGACTTGGATTTCTACTGTCGATATATGGATGTGATACTTTTTTGGTTATGAAAAACAAGAATCATGAAATGAACATCCTTGACAAGTTCGATGATGCACATATTCAGCAATAAACTTTACCATCGAGAAAGAAAGTAATGACAGTATCTCATTTCTAGACGTCTTCATGGCAAGGAAAGAAAATGCCACACTAAGAAGGAGTGTATGTAAGGAAACCTACAACAACAGGTCAGTACAGTCATTTTTCGAGTTTTGTACCTTTGAAATATAAAAACGCGTAACCTGGTAAAGTGTCTGATTCATAGAGCTAGGTTAATCTGTCCAGATGACTGCCTCAATGAGGAGATTAAGATTATTAGAGAATCACTTGGAAAAAGAAATGGTTATCCAGGAGAGGTGAGAACTAGTCTAGTGTCGACTGTCTAATTGTATCATACAATGATAGTGGATGTTACATCGACGATAATACCCCTTTATGTATAGACCTATGACTGAGAAAAATGTGAAGAAAAAGTTGATGCTCGCAGTTGTTCATTCAAATTACTCTTGCAACACCTTGTGAATTTGTTTAATGAGTTAATTGGTGGAGGCCCAGCCGATAACTACTACCTTGTCGTGGTGGTCGGGTTTGAATACCGCAATAACCCAACAAGCTGAACTGACTGGGACTCTGTCGCTACAGGTCCTACCATGTCAGGAAGGTTGTTTGGATAGCGGTTAAACTAAAAGCAGTTACCATGGGGTACATGGGCTCCAGTATCCAATCGGATCAAATGGTGTATGAACCCATAAGGGTCACCGGAAACCATGGGAATGCAGCTTCTGACGCTGCTCCGCTGCCTTGCGGATCAGACTCCAAGTCAAAGGCTCGAGGGGTGGTCCCTTAATAAAACCACCTGCTTCAGTCTGGGTGCCTGGGCAGTATCTCAGTCCTCACACAATGAATTGAATAAAGCAACAAACAATCAGTGAAACTGATCGCGTGCTACTACATGTGTGGCAAATTCCTTCTTTCTTCCCTTCCCGATGACAGTTAACGAACACTGTTTGAACTTGTTAAGCATAAGTGTTTTCCTTCCAGATGAAGTTCTTTATCCGTTCTCTACTTAGATTCTTTTTTACTTTTGATCTATGTTGTTTTATTATTATTGTGTGGCGCATCCTTCTTGGTGCCATATTGTACCAAGTTTTTATGCGTTTCCAATAAATAAATAAATAAATTGGTCGATGGTGACTAGGAGTGGAATCCAGCCAGGATAACGCGAATTTCGTCCTATTTAGGACTCGTCAGTTGGCTGGAGGATGTACCTACATTCTCCAGTGAATCAGTGATGACGTTCCCATTGTGGTGAGAGCAGGCTGCTAGCCGATTGGTTGACACTAATCTACGTTAATGTCTAGGTCATTAATATGGGCCGTGAGAAAATATGAACAAGGCTGTTTCAACAACCAATCACAGCAAACTTAAACGTGGACAAATATGATTCGCAGATAGATGGCTCTACTTTCCGAGAAATATCGAAAACAACCAACCATAAGACTGTGTTTGTCTGCTTAACTTCCGAGAAAAAACCAATCAGAAGACTGCCTTTTTCTGCTTGCATAAGCCTTATTAATGTACATAAAATATATATAAATACGTGTTGATTTTCGTAATAAAACGATCTGTTGCCAGCCCTTGTCTTCTGTTGTTACACCATCATCACGGAGGCTCGAACCCAGTGGCCATAGTTTCAAACACCACACCAGCCAAAGCGTTATCCACTAGATCACTTGGATGACGAGAGCCACCCCACTGCCTCTTGTGCAACGGGTCATATTAATTATTTAACTGAATTTTAAATTTTCCTATCTGTCGATTGACTGATTGCACCGAAGTGCTTGTCGGTGTCAGGTTGACATATCTGTTGGCTTCTTGTGCAGATGCTTCGACGATGTGTCTGGGCATTTAATTAGAATTTAACCGATGGATGGTGACAACCTGAGACCGAGCAATTCGGTCAAATCAGTCGCAGGGAAAATCTAAAATTCAATTAGAGTGTAACTTAATTTTGGTGTTACCTAACTTGACTAGAATGAACCTCCAGACACGAGGCTGCCACGAGCTGATCCCTTGAAAATATCTCCCCTTCCACCGATATAGACACAAAGGTCAGACAAGGGAAAAAAAAGACAACCACAACAATTTATGCCATAAAAGAGTCTGACCGCTCCAAACCTAATAGCTTTCTGTTGGACATCATCAAGTGGTCTAAATCAAATCGTCTTATGCTAAATAAATCCTTCCAAATGTCATCCAGTTAACTTCACTTTCAAGCATTGATGTGACATACATGAATTAGTTAGTTCCCATGATGTCTGTAGCATACATAGATAGCACTGAAATTGAAACCAAGTCAATCAGCATTAAATCCCTTGGATTAGTCCCCTTTCTCTCTGACCTTTCATGGTCATCCCACATCACCTTATCAGTCTCTAAGAAAACGTTTCGTCTCCAAGCTTCTACATTAAAAAAATGTTAAGACAATCAGGTATCAACCAACCAACCTTTACTTCTCTAGTTTGTAAACTCCTGCACTTTATCTATTGTACCTACCCTATTGCTCTCCATTAATCTTTCCTGGGCTTCTCAAAAAAGACTATATCATATATCACGAAGGGTATTAAATGCTGTGAGTAGGGCTTGTGGTATGCCACTGTGTGAGCTCGCCACGCCAATATTATAGTCAAGAGATATATAAAATCGTGTAGAAAATGGGCAGAGGCCGTATTGTCAGACCCCCGCACCGCCCCCCACTCCATCCGCTTTATTCACAACTATCCCCTTCCATCTCATCAGGTAGGACGAGAAGTCAATATGAGAAGTTATATGCTCGAACCACCAAGTACAAAAATTCTACAATACCCTCCCTGTTTAGCTCGTATTTTTGATGTGATGGAGACCTTACACAGTTAGACGTGAAACATGCAAGAAGTTACTATGTGATAAGCAAAGTGAATCGACCCTTTCATCATCGTTCGTCCATCTTTCTGTAATCAATTTTGTGGTGTCACACTTTCTATCGTTTAATTCATAACTTAGCTATTTTATTTTATTTTAGTTGTTATTACTATTATTACTACAATTTTATACTTTATGCATATTTTTCTCCTTATCGCATACTGTAAATTCCTACATAGCTGCTATACCGACATTTTGTTATTACCATTATTATTATGTAATGTTTTTATTATTTTTTGTCATTTTCAGTAAATTAGATGCAATAGTGTACTGAATGCTGAAAATTCCTTCCTGTATCATTGGTAGTCCTTTGGAATAAACCAAAAAATTTAAAACAATTAGTTCCCTTTTTCATGAATTTAGATAAAGCAATAAGAAGACGTAATTTGTCTGTCTGAATTGTGTGTGTAACGTGCATATTTGCGCGCAACACACATTTCGAACAATCTGATCCATCACACACACACGGACTTGTCATAGGAATATATATGAAATTAATTACGAGTTAAGAGGTGGGTGAGAAAATAGACTACTTAGGTCAAGTAAAAAGGAGGACTATAGTGAAGGTTAAAATAACAATGAAGATCACTAATCCAAATAACAGAGGTAATAGTACATCTACCCTGACTGGTGGCGATCAAAACAAAATTTACCAAAAAAAGTTTAGTGTGATGACGAATTGCTGATTTGAACGCATAAAGGTGGTTTCAGAACTTCCTAATTGCCAGCTAGGGCTAACTTCCACAAACTTTAGGATACGCCCTCACCCAAACACACTTTTATAGATGGGTTTAAAAGATGTGTTAGTTAACGTCAATTTTATGTGCTGTCTCCTCTGTAATATATTTCGCTATA